ACACCGTGATAAAAGAGAAAGACTCAGCTGAAGTCCAGATGATGCGCTCGTCGAAACCAAGTGGGTACGTAGATGAGGGTTTAAGACGAGTTTTGTGCAACTTTGGTTCAAGTAGAACATAAAGTTGAGGAAAATTCAGGAACTGGGCCCACTTGATGAGTGTCAAGAAGGATGAAACCTGTCGTGGACTGTTGAAGAGTTCTCAGCATCCTAATTGGTCACGAGTTGTGCATTTACACCAATGGTTCGGCTGAGAACCGTTGAGAAAACCTGCACTTTCTGTCTGATAAAGGACACAGCGCCGTCCGCGCTGTAAATTATCACAATGAATAGTTTTCTGTGCACTCTATCGCTCAGTGGCAGAACGCACCCTGCCAACCATCTTTGTGAATCTGTTTGAATCGTTTCAACTCAACATATCCCGGCATTTCAAGAAGACAACCCGACGGAAGTCTGTGAATAACCCGGTCGCTAACGCTGGATGCCATGACAGGAGTGAAATCCTCAGTTTCTAGGTTCAGAGCTTAGACCCTGAGTTTATACGGGTGTATGTTTAGTGTTTCGTCGCCACATTTTGGGATTCACATCTAATCAGTCGTAAGTCGTATGCACAATACTCGAAGGGCTGAAGAAATTAATATATCCCCATAAATGCTATAGAACTGACGTTGCCGTAAGACACACGAAACGACTCGAGATCGCGCACCAAAAATTGATCATAGGCTGGCGCTCAAATTCTATTCATGTGGGCAACTACTTCCGGTATGACTTCATTCATAAGTTTCCTGACATCTTGATAGTAAGGTAATCTATCAGCTGTAGCACGCTTTCAGTGCCTAACTATCATGATACCCGAAGGAAGCACGCGGGCTAGGATACGGCCAGGTTGCCCAAGCCTAGACACGGAAATTCGAAGGGTAGAGGCCGGGTTCGAACCACGGACATTCCAGTCAGTAAATCCGCGCTCTAACTAATTGCGCCATCTCGCCCCATGCCATCTTGAGAAAAACGGCCATTGGGAACCCAATAAAATCCCGTTTATGATATTTTTAACCTAGCGTGCTACTCAAAGGCCCCTCGAGTTTCATTTGAGACATCTGGTGGAGATATTTTCTTGATGGAATATACTACTCACAAGGTTGCTGAGATCCCAAGACCAGCTCCTCAGAAAGGAAGAGTCCCAGAGTTCGGTCAACTAAAACGCAATATGACAATTCTCATTTGAAGACTGTCACAAACGAGAGGTTTATCTGGGATTCCACTGGGTCTCCCGCCAATAACATTCAGTTTGGTGTCCAGATGGAGCATAGGATCAACAGAGCATCTAAGGTTATATGTTCCTAATGAGCCTCAAGAAGAATGAAACTGGTCGTGGGCTATCAAATAGTCAGAGGTCTCTCAGGTGGACTGTGCTGCCAGGGGGGAAGGTGTTTCCTGCCATTCAAAATTCAATTTTTCATTGGTACTACATGCATCAGGTGCCTTGACCTCACTGACCTGTCCCCTTTCCACTTCTCCCCTTGTTCAGTACTTTCTTCTACCGTTGTGCTGGCTGTCATCAAATTGTCACCAAGTCTGATATGGTGTTTCGCGTACGATCAAGAGCTTTCCATTTGGATTGCTTTCGCTGTGCCATATGTGAGCGTCTAATCCAGCCTGGTGAAGAGATCGCATTCGAGGCGGACCGAGTCTGTTGTCTATCTCATATACAAATAATACACGATGTCTCAGGCACGAAGTCACAAACCACCACCAAAGAGCCGGCCATGATCACCTTTGATCACGCGGTAAAATTTGAAATGGAAGACGCTTTAAGATCGAAGGAGTTACGTCCAGGAAAGAGGCCGTTGGAGATTGGTACAACTTCCGACTGCGCGACGTTGAATGCCTTTATTCCGTCATCGCCACCTGCTGTTCGACGGAATCAAGGATTGCTACCCTCATTACTGCTCAATCGATCGGATCATCTCAAATCAGCCGAGGCGATCGAACTGGATGAAGCCATCGTATACGAGGATTTGTGTACGGCAAGTGAAGAGAGGAAAAAGAAACCACCAACTGATCGTCTTCTCAAGTTCAATGAAACAGAGTTTCCCGATGCCTTCTGTCCTTCAAGTCCATCTTGCCGACCAAACAGTTGTGGAAGTTCGCTGGGTGTGGCGATTCGTGATACAGGTTAGTTTATGGTCTGTCCAGACTGAGTACTGTGTTAATTTTCTTCTGACCTGAAAAAGAGGCTAAAAAAGCTCTAGAATAGTAGAAAATTCTTTAGAAAAAAAAAACATATTGCCTTCGAGCAGTCACTACCCACCCAAACTTCAGGTAGCTAGACATGTACCGAGTAATCCGTGAAATGCGATAACCTAGTGCATTAGGCCTAAACGTTTGGGCAACACCTCTGGACCACCGGGCAAACGCCTGTTTCTATTCATCACCAAATGTCGAATGCCATCCAGGTGTATTACCATACCGTCCGGTACAGTCGCCAGGGTACTGACGAATACTCGGTGGTGTCAAGTATTGCCCACCCCGTGGTCGAAGGACAGTTAGCGAACCACCTGTCAACAACCGGACTGAGGTCTGGGTTACCTACGCGCGCCTGTGTAAGCTCACTCACGCACACACACACACGAGAGTGGCAGGGTGATGACTGACCACACGGGGTCGTCAAGCTTCCCGCATGCGTGTGGTCAGTGTGACATATTTGGACATTTGGTGTGCGCGTGCACCATCGCCGGTTGGCAACCATCCAGTTTGGTCTATTGTGACAGTAAGATGAGTTGCCCTAGCTGACACACTGCCCCCACCAAGCGAACGTTGTGGGTCACACAGATCGGCATTTTTTTCAGAACTGTGTAATTTATCCATTCTGAAACTACAGGCAATGCTTAAGGATAGAAAGGAGGGCTAGTTGACAGAAACCTAGGGATCGCAGGAACAAAAAAAACATCAGTAGAACACGTAACATACTACTTATAAGATTACTGAAACACCTCAGGAACCCGCGACTGGCTTTGTGTTACCAAGTAGGCACAATCTCCAAGTTCACTTTCGGTCAACTTGGTATTTCGATTGAGTCCAAATTGAATGAAATTCGTCAGATACGAATTTGCTTTTGAAGGGAGACCCAATTGAATCCAGCTGAATGTGCTGCACCAGGCCGCCTCGTACGCCGCTCGTGCGTTACTCATTCAAGACATCACAATATATTGTCATCTAGATGCAAGAGTCTACTCATTAGGTTGCTGAAAAGTTTCGACAGCCCACGACCAGTTTCGGGAACTCGGGGACTGCGCCTATCCGATGAACCTCAAGAAAGGCGAACTGTTATTAATGTCTATCTTTGTAATGCACTAGTCATAAAGTTGCTGAAAATCCGTCGACAGCCCACGACCGGTTTCGCCCTTCTATTTCGGACTCATCAGGTAGGCGCAGTCCCCGGGTTTCCGTCAACCTCATGTTCTACTTGAAACCAAATTGCACGAAATTAGCGAAATACACTCATTTGCAAACAAATTTGCTCTTTAGAGAGACCCACCTGGAACCCAGCAGAATCTCTCGGTTTTGATGTTTTTCAGCGACCTTATGAGTAGTGCATTGCCGCGATGAAGTTAATTTTAATTAAACAAATACCGCTACCGCGTAAATGGAACCACCAATACAAAATGGATTCTAAAAAATGGACGCCTTATAAACAAGGTCATTCATGAATAAGTTCTTAGCTTCTTGTTAAAATTGTTCTAAGAATAGGTGGCGTTACGCCGAACCAAGCAGTAGATGCTGAACAATATCACTTGCTTCCGAAAACAGCCTTTAAATGGACACAGCCTTCCTTGGGAATGAACTTTCTAACCCAACCATGATCAGCTAAAAAGTGAATTTAGTACAATACATTCATTTGCAAACAAATTTGGTTTTTGCGACGGACTCATTTGGAACCCAGCTGAATCTCTCGTTCGTGATGTGTTCAGGCAACTAAATGCGCTGCACCAGGCCGCCTCAGGTTGCAGTTGCTACGATATTCCAGATATGGTGATGTATGTACATTCGTAATGCACTATCCATAAGGGCGAAACTGGTCGTTGGCTGTCGAAGTATTTTCAGCAACCTTATGAGTAGTGCATTATGAGTGAACTTAGTACAGTTTATGACTTCAGATGTGCTCTGAATGATGGGGAAACATCATCTCGGAGCAGTGGATTACAGAATCGACGGTCTCAAATCGTAGACTGTATGAAGTTACGCAATCAGACATACATTCATTTAGAGATTAGTATATCTGTCGAATTCCGTGCCATTTTGGTTCAAGTAGAGGTTGACGGAAAATAGGTGACTGTGTCTAACCCCGAGAAGAGCGTAATCGCTGATGGTCTCTCGAAGAGTTCCAAGCAAACTTATGAGTAGCACTGTATGTCTATACCGTGATTCCCGCTGATTAGTAAACGAACAGGCAATTGATTTCAGGTTGCTGATGGGCTGGACGCTCGGGCTAATGACAACCGACTTCCACGCGGCTCCACACGACATGGTTTCTCTTAGAGATGGTAATTACTAATGAGTGGTATGTACCAGCCATTTACGCAGTGATGTGAATTCACCCTGGGCATTCTTTCAGGTCACTCCTGGAGGCCGATGCCTAAACTATAATGTGACCGAACTTTTTGAGGCTGATAGCAAATTTGAGATGGTACTTGCCAGAATAAGCCTCGGTTCGGTGATGTTTCCTCGTTACGCTTGGCGAGCATGAAAGGCGATCATGAAGACATGGTCAGTCTGCTCCGTCCTCACCGGCTTGCGTTTATGCGGTTTTCAGAGAGTATTTGATATCCCCACATGTGATTAGTTAGTTGGTATCTGCCTCATTTATTGGCCCGTTCTCGATTTGCGTCTCGTTGCGGTTTGTATTACCCGTATTCCATTCCATTAAATAGCCCTCCCCCGAAATACCGCTATTTTGACACGTTCAAGCCACAAAAATCAGTGTTGCGTCTGTTACAGTCGAGTTCCAGGGGGAAATTTAACCCATAGTTTGATGAATTCCTTGGCTAAGACAATGATTTGACGAATGATGGAAAGTCGTTTCGTTCTCAAAACCTCATAATTCTCAGAACACATGGGGTTTGTTAAGACTGAAAGCTTGGAATTCACAGCTGACAGTTGTCGCCTCTGGACAGACGAACGTAATCATACTTAGCACGATTCTAAAAATCAAATCCTTACAATTAATGGGAAAAGTGTACAGCAAGTTCCAGGTAGGTGCGTGGCCCTACCTAACTGGAAAATCCTGACCGGCGGGCGGTTCAAACGGTTGACCAAATCAGGACAGTTACTGGGTCGAGCCGTGGGGCAAGCCAATCGCACGTTCGCATTTTCAGAAGTGGCTTCAGTCTGTACTGGTTTGAATAGTGCTAACACGCCCATCTGGAACTCAAATGTCCGAAGTTCAAACCCGGCATAGTCAGCGGTATACACTACTTATAAGCTTCAATAAGAGTGAAATTCGAACCCAGTGAATCATGCATTTGGTGTAGACTTTCCAGAACGATTGCACTAAGACAGCAAGGAGACCTTTCAGGCGAGAGTGGTGCGAACGTGAATTCCTCAAACCATCCACAACTTAGCGAAACACTGTCCGGCCGGTTGTGTCCATCCTTGGAGCTACCTGGCTCGGGACCTTTGGTCGGTCGATCGACGCAAATAGACAGTTAGCCGGTCGTCTTTCGATGTGCCAGCCAAGTCGACCACATGATTTCTTGTGTGTGAACGCGTTTCGATCACGGTCATTCAGGTGCGTCCAGAGTTCGATGGTGGAGTAAGCGCAGCGCCTACTTCCTCCTATGTCCGGCTTCAAGTTCCAACAGGATCAAGGATATACACGGCTACTGAAATCAAAACTAGAGTTCAGCGCCCAACCAGGATGACCCGGTCAGGCGGTGCAAACGAGCGGTGTCATTACAAATCCTACAAAACACACAACCACCTTAAGCCAAAGAGAGAGGCATTTGGCCTCGAAAAGGAAATGCAATTTGCGTTTCTTCTCACCGGATAGACGCACCGAGGTGTTTACTTTCAAAGTTCAGCCCGAACAAAAAGCAACCACCAACCTTGTCATTCGAGCTCATGGGTGGATAATTATCAGGTCTCGCTAAGAATTTGTGTGATGTAGAAAACAGAAGTAACATTCTTTATAAAACCAGCATACATACCCATTAATTTTTAACTCAGGCTTTGTCTTTTCACTGAAACCCATCAGTGCTGAAAAGCAGGAAAGTACTGTACCGCCGTTTCGACCTTGACGGGAATCATTAACAATTCGGAGCTCACGAAATTCAAAGAGTTACGAACTCCCGACCATCTGGTCATTGATTGGACACTTAACCGAGTGGCTGATCAGCAGCGTGAATAGCTCTCATTTAAACAGGAAACAGTCATTCATCTTTACTGAGAAATACCACGTCTCCTCATACCGTGATCCGTCTGTAATTAGTTCAGAGGAAGAATCGTTTCAAATTAGTGAAGGTTCCATCTGAAAAGTTGTCATTTGAGCAGCCAGTTAACGCAAGACCACGTGGTGTGATTGCTGTGACTGTAGGATAAACGGTGCTGTTCAAGTGAGAACCAATCACACTGCTGATCGACGACTTGTGACCGAACGATTAGGTGTTCAGCCATTGGCTGGAATCGAAATGCTGAAACAGTTTTGCAATGTTTCTAGGATTTTCACCCTCACTGACGACGAAATCTCTGTTGACAGTCAACAAACCGTGAATTCCGAGCATAAGTGGGGCCAACGATTACTGGATGTTGGGACTTTGAGCCTGAATAGCAAGCGGATGAATTCCACGGTAGATCGAAATGGTTGCAGGACCGACCATTTCACCATATTCTTCGTACGATGATAAACTATGCTTGTTTGTCTGTGCACCCGCACGCAGGTGTCTACGAATCGATAGAAAACGACCTTGCAATTTGTGTTCAAACGTTCATTGTCACGTGGCGAGCCGAAGAGAGCTCGCCGATGTATCGCTCTGATAGAAAACCCATTCACCAGAATGGTTATAAAAACGCGGTTTGAATAGAAGCGGCTGTTCGGTAGACGGTATATTCGATGGACGCGAAATACTGACCCAACAGTCTGTCCAGCATCCTGTCTCTAGGCCACAATTACGACGGTTAGTCCCAACAACAAAAACAAATTCTGACCAAAACGCCGCCGCAACGGTAGCCTGTGTATGATGATCAGGTTAATCTCTGTGTCGCCTTGGCTGCGCCGCACGCATTTCGATGGGAGTACACATGAAAGCGCTTGAGAGCGTGCAAAGTAAGTTAGCAGACACGGAGAACAGCTGACACATTGCGTCGAACGCGGGGTGGTCTCCGTACTGGTTGGCACATCCAATCACACTGGGCATTACCTTCTTGCCACGTTTGTGTATGAGAGGCAAGGTGATGTGGAAAAGATGGACAAAACACTAACAGCGACAAGAGGCATAGGATAGGGAGAGAGAGAGCGAGCGAGGGAGCGAGAACTGCAGCGGGGCAAGAGGTTGGATAACGGTTCAAGTTCTTCGACCAGGTGGAGTGCCTAAGTGAACGCTCCCATGACGTGTGTGTGTGTGTGTGGTCCTTATGGTGGCCAGTCTTTCCTCCATCTTCCTAACTGTTGGTAGCCCGACGGAATTGGTATAGGCACACATGTAATGGGTTGTCAACGCTATAATCAAACGATGATCTATAGCTGACCAATATGCCGCGGGAGAACTGCGTAACGGACAGACGAACAGAGACGCTTGTGTTCACCTATCTAGCCCACCTCCCACGCATGGTAAGGCCACTTAGCCGACCACCAGACAGGGTGGGGGGGGGCGGCGTAACAATTGAAGCCTGCCGAAAATTGAATTCTACACGTTGTTTTGCTGACTTTAGTAGCTAGGCGCGGTAGCAATACAATGCCTGATGGACTTAAATGTAGTATCCGGGGCATTTGAAGGAGCTCAGCGACACTTTGGGACCACCCACTCACATGGGTACGCACACGCGGGTGCATTACTGAAGCACGATCAAGTTTGATTTATGGACGTAATAGTTTAATTGAGAAATGGGTTAACTGTCTCCCTAAGGGTGTTCGAAACAAGCTCGGATATCGCTTCTGTTTTTTTCAGCTGTGTTAATGACTGTGTGGTTTTTTCCGCTTCGTATTCGGTGGAGAGTTTTAAGTAAATAGTTTGAAGAGACCTCACAGAATGAATCAGCAGTTGATCACGTGAGGAAGACGAGCGAATGGTGTCACGTGGTAGGCAGTTCAGTTCAAATGAGTTTGACACTGCCAACGTAAGAGTGACAATTTTTTCAAGTGACAGTATGATCGATTACCAACTCTTTGGCACCGTTTTTTGCTTGCCAGTATATGAAAGATATGAATAAATACCTCATAGAATTTGTGGCAGTCTGAATATACGCACACTCACGTGACTCTTGTTTGAACTGTGGTCCTCGTGTCATGGCGCAATCATTCTGGTGGGTCCATACCAAAGCGAGGGAAACACTGGACTCGGGTGTCTACCTGATTAGAGCTTATCAGCAGTGCAAAAGTGTGCGGCAGGTTTGAAGCATTTGTGGTGATATCTGAATGGGAAGTCCTAACTGGCGGGTAAATCGATCGACACAACCAAGGTTGGTTACTGGGTCTCCGTTTGCTCACATCACTCAAGCGCGAACATGTTCACGTGTTCAGACGCAAAAATTCAGATGAATACAGTGGGCGTTGGTGGAGCAATGGTTATGCGCTCGCCACAGAGGTATCGTGACCGTGGAACGAATTGGTAAAGTTTGGCCAATAATCGGGCGACTTATCATCATCATCATCATCATCATCATCATCATCATCATCATCATCATCATCATCATCATCATCATCATCATCATCATCATCATCGTCCAAATCATCATCATCGGCATGGAAGGCAGGTCTTTTTTCGACAAACGATAATTTGTCATGGTCAAACCATCGTAGCTTCTGGTGCTGGGCACATCTCCGAACCGAATACCCGCTTGCTACTTGTCTCGCTGTGGATTTACGATTTGTGGCTTTGGGAAAGCGGTTACCAAAGATTTGAAGACTTCTCAGTTCACTTGCTCGAAGAAAGCACGTCTCAGGCTTTTAAAACAAAACAACTCACACTGTAAACACGTTTCCTGAGATGGCAGTTTGCTGCCACAAGTGTTTCAAATTCGCGAAGGTGGTCTGAACCCTATAATAGGTCACTGCATCGATCTCGTGTACCACAATACACTCTGAAGTATTACGCAAAGCACTCTTCAATCCCCTTGGATCGTAAGGGGCCTGCTCAGTATGGACACGTTCAGCGGTCGGAACTCACACTTTGTGCTTGCAAAGCCAAAGGATGGGATGACTTTAGATAGTTCAGTCAAAAAAAACCCCAGGCAGATGGTGTGGTCTGCTTAGGCCAACAGTCATTTGAACATCACGGTTTTGAAGACTTTCCAGTGTCTGCCTCGTTGATAAAAAATGGAATCGAAATGGAAAAGAGGGCCATCGCTGTCGGATACTACTTTTAAAAGGGCCTCACATTACCAGAAGTCCAAAACTAACAACCTAACATCCTCAGGGAGCATATAAAACTGAACAGATTGGTCAACAACGACTCATATTCACCATGAAGTGCACTTGTACCTTTCTAAGGGCATGTGAGTATTTCCCCTTCGGACCGGAATGTCCAGGTAAACCGCCCCACATACTGTTCGAACTAATTACAGCCAAAACTCTTTTTGACAATAGAAATGGTCACATTGGCAATTTATGTTTTGTGCCTAACGGTTTACCTAATGGAAGCTGGTGATTTAACCGTTCCGGCAAAAAGCCACGTTAACTGTACGCACTTAGTTGGTGACTACAAATCACTCAACCGAGGAAGCTAACTTGGAGCGTTCATTTGGTTAATCGATGGTCAGTGACCTTGACAGATGTGGTAGCCAATGGCGGTTTCGCATCAGAGCTACGACCTTCATCTCTTGATATACCGGGCAAACAGAAGCATTTGACCTAAATGAACTGTTTGGGCCTACAACATTACCTTGTTCTTCTTGTCTTTGGTGAGCGAACCTGGAACAACTTCACCTTGGCGCTCATTTTTATCTGAAAAAACTTGATGGTTAGCCGGATGGAAGGACTTGGTTAGGATACGGATCCATGACTGTCGGTGATATTCACACACACGCACACACACAGATGGTGTAGCCTTGCTTCCGCACCGACAGGGAAGATTGACAAACGCTCACACAGGTCGAACAACAGTGCCGGCGGTAGATGACAGCCATCGGTAGATAGTTTCAGACTGTTGATGGATTCTGTAGGCAAGCTCTACTGAATGTCAAAGCGGATGACAGTAGACAAGGCGTATGGGGACTGTGCCAATGAGGATAACAGACTGGAGGCGCTTGATCCGAGGTTCTGTTATCACAAATCGGGGTGAAATATCCGAGAACAATTAGGGCACTACTGCTGTGGTTGTTTTCTGATGTCGAACAACTACATCCAGCTGTCTTTCAGATTCAACAACACGACAACCGGGTGGAAGGGGTAGAAATGACCTTGGCGGAATCGTAAATAATCAACTATTCCTGCGTCCGACTTGCCATACCGATCAAACGTCCACCTAGGTTTCCGCTCCACCTGTCTTTGTAAGGGTGCGTGCGCAGCATAACCCCCCCCCCCGGCACACACACAAAAAAGCCGGATCAATGGGGAATTAATTAGGGGTGACCCGAAAAAATGACAGTCGTACAAGCCCCCGTTTGACTGGTACATGGCACTAAACATTGGCTCTAATTTATGTACGTTCACTGGCCTATAATCGGTATCCGAACAAATAAACTTTCCTAAAGATCTACGAACCGAGAGAGATTAGTAGTTGAATTTATAAGTACCAGGTCAGGCTTGTTTCTTATCAGAAAAAGTGATAAAGTACAAGGTGTTGGGTTTAGAATTCACAAGTAGGTGAAATTGTCGTAGAGGGTGAGGGTCACTTTGTAAGATGTGTTTTTGTAAATAAGTGATACAGGTTGGTAACTTGGACGGACCGCTTCGGAACCACTATGAACACATATCAGTGGACATTTTATTGACTTCAGGTCCCCGACTTTGTCTTTGGTGAGTTACCTATGCTGAATGGGGGATGCGGCCAACTCAAAGATTTTTAGAACCAGTTATCATGAAGTCCCAAGATGAAGCTCAGTGGTTACGAATGTCTACAAAAGGCAGGACCTACAAGAGCCCAGCGGTCAAGCCGCGGAACCAATGAGTTCATGGTGAATGGTTTGACTCCCGCCATGCTTCAGTGTTCGCTAGATAGTCTGGAAGTGCTCCCTCCCAGCTTCGCGGCGGCTGTACATAAAAAAAGGCATAGTTGAACGGTTACTACTGGCATTTTAATAAGTAGTAAGATTACCTCAAAGAGAGTGTCAGATGCTCTAGTTGAATACCAGCATTTTACTCGCTTGTTCACAAACGCTGTAACTTCATTTTTTTTTCAAAAAAACGCTATCTTTAAATATTTATCCTTATAGATAGTCCCCTGACTGCAAGTAGTGAACTTAGCCATGACGATGAAGGCAGTCTTTTGGGATTGACCAATATGAATCATGGCCAAGGAGACTCTGGCCTGAATACCCTCAATGGTCCCGGGACCTTGGTCGCTGGCGGTGGGACACCCTTATCCCATGGCTACGGAAGCACTCCGGTTGGTATATGTGGTGGAAGTCGGACGGGAAGTGGGAGTTCGAGCAGCGGAACCAGCGTCACCGGAGGGTGCGGTGACGAAGTTGTCCACAGTGTGTCGGTCACTCGAGTGGGTGGTTTGCGAAACGGCAAATCTGGTGGATCGAAACGGTCAAAGGATCAAAAAACCACACGTGTGAGCCAGAATGCTGCCCGATTTTTGTTATTTATGTCTTCTATGGAAACAACTTTTAGAGTAGAATAGAAATTCTGTTCCTCTTCTGATCATCTTCAGGTTCGAACTGTACTCAATGAAAAGCAGCTCCACACATTGCGAACATGCTACGCCGCGAATCCTCGCCCAGATGCTCTGATGAAAGAACAATTGGTCGAAATGACTAGCCTGAGTCCTCGAGTCATTCGTGTTTGGTTTCAGAACAAGCGATGCAAAGACAAGAAGAGGCAAATACTACTCAAACAGATGGAACAACATCAACAGGTGAGTTTGTTAACAAGCGTATTTTTGTTTTGTTTCGTCTGCAAAGTTTTCGCGTGTCCTCTGCCAGTCTTCTGGTCTCCAGCTCGTTGGCTTGTCCGTACCACAGAGGACCACAGTCGGACCACGTTCGGGTGACGTCCATAAGATCTTGCAGTATGACCGACAGGCTTTTGGGGTTCAGACGAACTGGAACTACAAATCAGTTCACAATCTATTCGGAATGTCTTTACAAAAGTCAAGTGATGCTGTTGACTGGTTGTAGACAAGTTGCCGGCTGAGCGATGAATCCGACTGGTTGGACCACAGTCCAACGTCCACAGTGACGTTCGATTATCTACGAATTTTGTAAAAGTACAATATATGTCTTTATATGGAGAGAAACGCCACTCGTAAGCGTGCTGAACACTCTTCGATAGCCTGCGACCGGTCTCATCGATTCAGGATTTCATCAGATGAATCTAACTTACGAGTTTTCATCAGTTCGTGTTTCGAAAACCGAATGGCATGCAAGTGGTGAAATGTGCTCACTTGCAAATCATGCTGGTATGACCAAGAGACTCAAATGAATCTGCTGTTTTTGCGAAATTCTTCAAGTTCCGTTTAGAACGACAATCTAAGATTGACAGGATAGAAACGTGAGGCGGCTTTTGTGCAGCAAATTCAGTTGAGGAATCTCTCCCCTCGATCACAACTGAGTGCTCATCTGCCAATACTACTTACCAGAAGATAGACACACTACAATTCATTGGGAAATTTCCCTTGGATTAAGAAAGCTGCAACGTTTCTTTATGTTTCCTCAGACTGGGGAATTTGTCACTCAGCGATCGATACCAAATGCACCGATCCACATGCATCTTTGTAGAGAACTCCCGATAATCGGCAATGCATAATTTGATTAAGTTGCAATCTGACTGTCATCTGCCCCCGAGCGAAAGTGGGTGAACAAAGAACTCATTAGGCAAAGTAGAGACGATTAGTTTTGTGACGAATTCCATGCCAGATTTGGGCGTGAAAGCATTCTGCGTGGAATTTGGAAGGTTGTGAGGACGTTTTGGGACAATTCCGATCGATGTCTGAAGCGGTGGTCTTCTGATGAATGTGGCCCTTCCGCAAAAAAACTATGGTTTTGGGTAATAACTGAACATCTTCGGTTTTCGTGTGAGACTCACTCCCCCAAGGCTGCCGACGGCATGCGAATGGTTTTGCCTTCATCGGGACTCATCAGGTAGACGCGATCCCTGAGTTTCCGTGAACCATATGTTCTGCTTGAACGCAGATTGCACAAAATTTGACCTATAAGCTCATCTGTATATCAATTTGGTTTTGAGGGGAGACTCACCGTCTCTCGTTTACGAGTCTTTCATGCAACTGAATGTGCTGCACACAGGCCGCCTCATGTTTCAGTTCGTACGGTATTCGAGATATCATAATACATTGTATATACGTAGCACACTACTCATGAGGTTGCTGAAAACTCCTCGACAGTTCACCATCGGTTTCTCCTCTCTAGAGGCTCACCAAGTAGACGCAAACCTCGGATTCTTTTCAGCTTATTGTTCATTTGGCGAACTAGTTTGGCATTAACGAGAAATCCAACGGAATTCCAAGTGATAAATAGCTTAAAAGAGAGATTCAAATGGGATTCATTTGAGTCTGCTCAAGTTCTCACTCCGCTGACCTCTGAGGCATTGGTTTGGTTAAGGCTTGAAAGTGCTGTTGTCGTTCCACATTACCGTGCCCACAAGTAGCGAATTCCAGACACTGACAACTATAGGAGAGGCCTGCTTCTGACAAGTGGAGCGGTGACCGGTAACAAACTTACTGACTGCTTGGATCCCGTAACTCTTCGTGATCCGGCTACCTCTGGCGAGGCTGCACAACTGAAATATGGGGCGGCCTGTGTGCAACACAGTCAGTTGAAGAACATCATAAATGAGAGATTCAGCTGAGTCTTCCGTGAAGACCAAATTGATTGGCAGATGAGTTTAGTTCTCGAAAACAGTCCAATTTGGGTTCAAGTGGAACATAAGATTGACGGAAACTCGGGGACTGCGCCTACCTGATGAGCCCGAAGTGGAAGGGCGAAACCGGTCGTGGGCTGTCGAGGAGTTTTCTGCAACCATGTGAGTAGTTTCCTTGGTGAGAACATAGTTTCATTCGCAAACAAATTTGGTTTTGCGAGAGACTCGCCTGTAACCCAGTTGAATCTGTCGTTTCTAAGCAAGTTAATGTTCTGCGCCAGGCCGCCTCATGTTTCAGTTGGTACAGTATTCGGGATATCGCGACACAGTGTATAGACATATTACACTACTCATGAGGTTGCTGAAAACTCTTCGACAGCCCACGAATGGTTTCACCCTCCTTGGGGCTCATCAGGTAGGCGCAGTACCCCGAGTTCTCGTCAACTTTCTGTTCTGATTGAAAACAAATTGCACGAAATTAGCGAAGTACACTCATTTGCGAACTAATTTGGTTTTGCAAGAGACTCACCTGGAACCAGACTAAATTTCTCGTCGGACTTTCTGGAGACTATTCACAAACCTCTTCCTGACGCCTACCTGATAAGCCCCAAGAAGGGCGAAACCGTTCAAGAATTTTCAGCAACCGTCTGAGTAGTTTATTTTGTTTAGAACATTGTTTCCCTCTTCCTTTGATCAGACAAACCCAAATCACGTGATCACACATTGAATGGCTTCTCGGCTTTTCAGCGTAGACCAGCATTACTTACAAGATAAAATCTGAGTTAGAAAATGCTTAATCTCTAATCCGTTTCGACAACAACGAGTATTTTTTGTACTTTTATTGAGCCTTAGGTTATACTGAGTGGCTTAGCTTCTCTGTGGACATTCTTATACTAGAGGAATCGTTCCTCATCGGGCATTCGCTTTTCGTAGGCTCGGCCGTTGGTCGATCTCAAAACGGGCACTTCAGATGGGAGTGCGATGTACGATTACTGCGTGGAAAACAGCAGTCGGACATTCTTCCAGCAGAGAATTTCCCCACGGCAACGCTTTTTTGTAGCCCGGATACAGTGAGCGCGTAAATACCCACTGTCCCAAAACTAGGGTGAGGAACACAGAAAAGGAACAGGTTTTTTTATTACCAAGTTCGTCTTTTTACAGTGCCAGTTCTCACATTTTTTGTGTATCCTTCTATTCCAATGAACGAAAGGAAGATTGTTAAAAAACAGCGTGGGTTTTTTCTCCACGTCTGAGCATCCTCGCAGTGGCAAGTGCTCCCACTCTCCCTCATTGTCCTTACCGAACTTCGGTATATACCTTTTCTGTGAAAGTTGGGAAGAACACTGCTACTCGAAGTTGGAACGTGGGTACCGTGACACCTGTGATGTAACCTGCTGCTGAGAATTCCACGGAAAGCTGAAGACTCTACAAAAAAAGACGGCCTGGTTCTCCAACATGTGCGTGTTCCTGGTGTGATTCATCCCAACGTGTCTAACTGTGCCACGCACCTGGTTTTAGGAAACCATGAGAACGAGGGTGAATGAATGGATGAATGAATGAACTAAAGTTATCCTAGACGGATGAAATTTCCGCGATTTTAGATGTGAAAAAATAAATTGCCTAAAATGATCTCCCTAGGCAAAAAACATGATGAATTCTAATGGCCAAGAACAGAACACGGAAAGTCGCAACCTTGGCAGTTCGAACAGATCCGATCAGCTGATGAAACACTTTATGTTCACTAAAATGCGTACTACTGATACTTCTTGTTAGTACTATAAGGCGCATTGTCAAATGTTTGTCGTTGCGGAATTCTGCTCAACGAGGTGTGCTGTGGTAATGCACCATTTGATGTCCCCAGTTCATCCGGTTGCTTATTTGAGCATAAGTAGTAGGCACAGGTTGATCAGGTTAGTAAACCGCCTCATACAACGACGTCCCCTATTCCCTGAATTCCGGTTCACATGCTGATCGAGGATAATGTGAACAGTGTTCATGGGGGGGGGATGACAATAAGGAGAACTGTTCAACTTGCCTGAATAAGGGCCTTTAAATGACAGTATGGTCGACTTTCATTTGCAACGGAGGACGAAAAGATCATCACTAGACGTGATTTATGTGACGATATTGCTATGAATTATAATGCTGCCTGATAGTGATGGCTTTTATCTCGCTGTGGGTTCCTCTGTATCTGATTATGTTAACGGTGCAGGTGAGTTCAGGGTGATAGCATCCAGATTCTGTCTGTCCCCATGGGCATATCACAAAGTGGGGGAACTAACGACACTGAGGGATAACGGCCTTTAATACAACGGGAAGAGGTTTGGCAGATCACTTGTGAAGGTCGACTGCCCGAGCATGGCAGCCCAGTCATTAAATCATCTTTCCGGTAATCGGGGTATTGCTAGTTCGAGTCCATCCCTAGGCGCCGTGTTTTGCGTAGTTAGACATGTCACTTCAAGATTTTCAACATTGTTACGGTGATAGAAAATTTATGATAGTTGACCCGGGATAGTCGCTCAGCTGTAAGACCCTTTCGATGCCTAGCTACCATGCCACGCTTAGGAAGCGAGAGGTCTGAGATACTGTCAGGTTGTCCAAGCCTAGACAGGGGCACTTGAGAGGCCTGGGCTGGGTTCGAACCATGGACCTTCCGATCAATAATTCTGCGGCTTAAGCACTGAGCTAACTCTAACTGGCAGCTATTCGACATCCAACGTTAACCGCTTGGTTAAATGACAATAGCTCATTGTCTTGTCTATGTGAGACCCACTTGGACCACCGACCGGCCGCTTTTTACCGAAACGTATAATCTTCAACTGCCTCACCGGTTCGACTCACTCTGAAGATCCGTACTACCAAGAAAAATGGCCCCAAGGTGCTTCTGAGCCTTTCAACATAAAATGGAATCACTTTCAGGATAAAATGCTAAGTAATAGATCGAATTTCAAACTATGAGCAAATTGCCTATCCCGCAAAACCACAAAACTGAAACCAAAAAGTTTCCAAGTGGGTTTCAAGCGCGTGTGTCACGCTACCTGACTGGGAAGTCCTGACTGGCGGGTCAATCGATCGTCACAAACAGGACAGTTACTGGGTCGTCGTTCGATGAGTCGGACACACCAATCACATCGCTCAAGTGTGAACACGTTCGCCCGTTCAGACGTGCGTTGGTAGAGCAGTGGTTTCACGCTCGCATCGCATGTCAGATGTCCGGGGTTCAAATCCCGGACACGGCCATTGGATATACACTGCTGATTCGCTCTAATAAGAGCGGAACTCGAGTCCACTGCTCCCCTTCGGTGTGGACTCCCCGGAATAATTACGCCAGAACAGGAGAACGGCCGTTCAGACGAGAGTGGTGTGATTATGAACTAAATACCTATCCCGCAAAACCCCGTAACTGCAGTCTGTAGGTTAACTTCCACAAGAAAATAGATGAACCCGACGAATGAAACAGAGAATGTGTCCTTGAAAGAAATCGAGTTCTTTAGACGCCGTCCTTTATTTTCGATATCTTTTTGGCCCACTAACAGGAGATGAACCGAACGGAAAGCTAAGTTTGTCCTTCCAAATCGATGACTTCACCCTCTTAGTTTGGGATACTACCTTGCAAGGAAAAGTCACCTCACTTTAGAACAGCCTAAACCTTGGTCAGACAAGCAACAGTTCCAGAAACATGGGAATAACGTCAGTCCGTCAGGTCGCACGTGTTTTATCTGCAATCATCTTTTCATGTGGACGTGTGTGTGTGTGTGGGATCAGAGCTAATCTCCCAACTTTGTTCGGATTAAAGCGGGTAGAGGCGGCACGAGAACAATAGCTCTTTATTTTACCTGTGTATCGGTTTATGCAACTCAAAGTCGCAAGGTGAGGCATTAAAGGGTTGTGGCAATAAGTCGCTTGGATGGTTAGGATTCATTCCTCCCAAGCCAGGGGGTTGTTGACAAACGTTGAGGGTATGCCCAGAGTTCGGAATGGGAACCTCTTTTTCCCTCACAAGGTTAAGATAAACGAAGATGCCAAAAACTCTCAGCTGTGTAGTTATTCCTAGTCACGGGATTTGTGTGGAATTCGCGTTCACGCCAAGCTTGTTTGAACAGTCGTCCACCTGTGCTGGTGCAATTATTCTGGTGAGTCTTCATCAGCCTTCACTTGAGTTTCGTTCATCGGCGGGCGAACCAATCAGATCGCTCAAGCGTTCACCTGCGCGCGGTCGAGGATATGCACCGCGGACAAGTTAACTCTAGTGAGAGCGGGACTCTAGACCAGTGCTTCCCCCCTCTGGTGTGAACTCACAGGACGGAAGAGGGCTTGCTCAAACTTCCATTTAATGAAGGAGATCAGTCTAAACAGGATGTCTATACGACTGTGAGCAGTTGAAGACTCAAGTGGATGCGGTTGGATCACCCTTTTATGAATGTGCTGCGCCAGGCCGCCTCATGTTTCAGCTGGTACGATAGTGGCACTCTCAGCAACCTTGTGAGTAGTGTGTTAAGCCTAGACTGATGTATCACAAATATCGTACCTAATCACGTGCTCCACAGATAGGTCATTTTTTGAAAGCGAACGATAAAATCTGTCGGAGAGAGAAGGATAGCAAGAATGAAAGAACAACCATCCCACCTGCCCTGAGTCGGCTGTGAGATGTGTCAGCTATGTCTAACGTGCTCTGATGGGATGCTGGTAACACCCTGGCCTCCCCCGTCAACAATCTGCTGTTGGGTATGGTCAAATACATGCACTCTCTCATCCTTTCTCCCTATTTCTAAGTGACCTGACTTAGCTACTGCGTTTATAAATGTGGTCTTGTACACTGTCTTGAGGAACGCACATTCACGTGGAGAAAACAGGTGTCGTTGGTTTGTTCGCTGAGCTGGGCAATTTGTGTGCAAACGTTTCGTCATCGATCGAGGTGACATCATCAGTGCGTCGTTAGGGTGCGTGGTAGTGCCTAGTGATGGGTTGGTGGTTGCGCATTGAGTAGTGTTGGGTTTGGGCTAATATACGTGCTCCTGGCCGGCGCTGACTTCGATCACGGTTAGTTGTTCGGTCGGCCTGCTTCCTTGGTTGCACTGAGTTCTGGTTCGTCGATGCCCACGTAACCTCTGAGCTTGGCATCCCCTGTCCTCGTGCTCTGGTCGATGCAGGATTGACCTCTGTTCTTGACCCTTCCGAGTTCCGGCTTGTGACTTTCAATAGTCTGACTCCAGGGCGTTCTTTGGTTCTGTGTTTGTGAATGCGATATTTGGTTCTCCTTGAGTATTCCGGTTAAGATGTTGGTCTCTTGTACGTAGTGGTACTCAGCTCACCACCACGCCCCCCAGTAACGCACCTCGATTGGCGATGAAACGTTTGCAATCAAATTGCCCAGCTCAGCGAACAAACCAGAGACCATGTGCGCTACCTGAGCTACGAACATTTTCCTCTATAGAGAAAACAGTATCGCTCAGAGGGTATTCAGTTTGCTGTTTTCTATTCACTAGGCACCAGTGATCTTCCGGTCATGTGAGAGTTTACAGCCACTACTACCGGTGAGGTTTGTTATGACTACCCTCTCCCGGTTTCATTTAATTTGGCATCAGTGCATTCATGAAAGGGACCACAATAAACCCAAATTGCACCTGGAGAAAGGTCGGTCGGCTTGTACTTTGAAGATAACAGTGAGTGGTTAGCCAAAAAGAATCTCTGAACAAACGGCCTCAAACAGAGTTCAGAAAGGGTTCCTTTGTTTTCTAACCTATTCGTTGAATCTTCAAGACACAAAGCCTTCTTTGAGAATTAGTTCCTCGCATATCCCCTTGGAAACTTAGAAGGTGGAACTAATTGTGTTGACTTCACTTTATCCTATCGGAAATCAATGGAGGCAAGTTTGCCAGCTCTTGCGAGTTAAAGTTCCCGAACAGCGGAACAAACTCATTTGCATATCCATTTGGTTTTCACGGGGAACTCGCCTGGGACCCAACTGAATCTCTCAGTCAGGATTGTCTCAAGCAAATGAATGTTCTGCACCAGGCCACCCGATGTTTCAGTTGGTACGATATTCAAAATATCGCTACACACTATATGGACGTAATGAAGCTGGAGAAGGGCAAAACCATTCGTAAGCTTTCAAACGGTTTTCAGCAACCTTATGAGTAGTGTATTACGTCCAACCGAGTTTCGCAGAAGCTGAAGGCCAATGTATACAAGGTGAGAGTAGTCCACCTGTTTGGTTGTGATACATTGTGAACGCTCGCTGAAGATCGAAAGCGCTTTCAATTACCTGATGGTTTTGTAGTATAAGGTGATTTACTTGACAGACGAGTATCCGCAACGAGATGGTGCGTGAACAGAAACAGAATCGTCAGAGGGGCAAATGAAGCGTGCCCAACTACGGTCCAAGGAAAAACTTTGCTTTTTGAATTCCCAAAGCCTATTGGTGAAAGTTTCACGATTGAAAGTCTTTGATAAGACAACTTGAAAGCCCTTCTGAATACTGTACACGTGATTGTATCCTTGCACCTGGTTATATACCCCATTGTGCCTGATAGATAGCCAGTAACAACGAGCAGGTTACTGGTGTAACGGTGATGCTACTGATGGGGAGGCACACGAGTAGTATATTTCGTTCTTGTAAGTTCACTTTGCGTCTCTTGATGCGGAATTTATGGAGTCGCTTTGTAGCATTTGCTTGGATTTGAGCAATGAGTATCCAGGAAAGTTCCAGAAGATGGGTTCAGGAAAAGATGGATGCCCAGTTTTTGCAAATAAGATGCAAATGAGCGTTTCGCTTCCCTGTCCAATAGTCTGTAGTTGGTCAGTTGGCATTTTCCAATAAATAACTCCGCAGCAAAGGCCTTCTTCCTTTCACAGGTAGTAAATCTTTCGAGGCTTCTGTAGACTCAAGGCTAGTGCACCTGGAGAGAGACGTGTTATACTACTCACATAGTTGCTGAAATCCTTCCGGCTGCCCACTACCTGGTTTACCCTTCCTATTCTCAAGGGGTAGACGCAGTCATCGCGGTTAAGACCTTATGTTCTCCCTGAACGCAAAGTCAAATTGGTATGCATATGAGAGTATCAGTTTAGGTACCCCATTCTCCATCCCCAAGAATCTCTTCACTGTTTGCTGAAACGTCCTTTTTTACTTCATATTTAACCACAGAATGGAGGGCGTCCGGGACACTTGCACGGTATTTCCATGATCGCAAGCAGCCCCGTTAGAAACGACCCCAACATGTTGTGTTCTAGCTCGGCGATCGATGTTCAACAAGTCCTTGGACCCTACTGGAAAAGCCCGCCAAATAGTGAGCACCCACCTAGAACTGGGATCCATTGTTCCGTTTTCAAACCCAGCAGTCCGTATGCTCACCCCATACAATCCAAACTGAATCGAAGTGCGTCACCTTGTCTGTCTGCCATGATGAATGCTCATGGGCTGAATGGTCCCGGCAATGAAACACCCGTCTGCTACCCAACAAATCTTTCTGCTCTGGGCAATCTAATGACCTCGTTCGCATCGGCGGCCAGTGGCTCCAATGTAAGTCCTGTGAGCAATACGTCATTCACATCCACTGTTCAGTCACCAACCCAAGCCGATCGATCGAGGTTTGGACTAATGGCTCCGCAAGGAAGTACACCTGTCCTCCCGCCTGGGTTCCCGGAAGATCAACATTCCCAACCTCCGATCGCCGCTTTTCAGCAACTGGTAAGTAAGTACTGACTGTGGAGTACTGAAATATCTGTCAGTAGTTCTGGAGGCCAGTGAATAGTTCTCACTGGAGTTTGGTCACGACGGTTATCGATTAATAGGATTTCTTGGTTGAGGGTTTGTGAGTGACCAGATGTATGTTTTATCGATCGCGAGGCTGAACATATCAGATATGAACAAGTGAACAAGATATACAAGTGAAAAGGTCTAAAAGTACGACAAATCTAACTTTCGGATTAGCGTTGAGGGTGACACTTTGTACGTCATACGCCATTGATCGGCTTTCCTCGGCAAAAACAAGAATCACGTGACCTATCCTATACCGAATAGTTTTGATATCAGTACAACCCGGATATGCATCACTGAAGTTATACAGAACGATTTTATAAGTACAGAGTCCATTAGAAATCACTATATCTAATTATGGAGTTCTCCAACTTAATGGACTGTCAAAAAACAGATATCAGTACCGGATATGCATCACTGAAGTTATACAGAACGATTTTACAAGTATAGAGTCCATTAGAAATCACTATATCTAATTATGGATGGAGCCAACTTAATGGACTGTCAAAAAACTATTTTGGTTGGTTATATATATATATATATA